CTAACCCATCGTGCCACATAATTCGATACTTCTATTAGTTTGATTTCAGCCTATAATTATTTCCTATCTCGTTTCTAAAGAGATAAAGCAGTCTCTAAAATGCAAGTCAAGGTTCGGCAGCAGGGCTCCGGAGGCAAGCTGAAAATCGTTCTCGGAACGAATAGCGAAGAGAAAATTGTAGGAAATCTGAAAGTTCGGGGGTTCGTAGTTCCTCCTTCCATCTTCCCTACTATTCACCTCAAAGCTTTCTACGATAACTATTTACTACGGAGTTAACATGTGGTCTGCTTCACGGCTGAATGTGAAACCTTGCTGAAAACCCAACGTGCCCATAAGGCTTAAAGTTGCATTTACGCAGAAAATTCATATACACATTTTTTTGCAATCACTTGATCCCGTTTTACGAAGCGAACAGCCAGTGAACAACGTCCAAATTTGGGAAGAACAATCACAACGAGGAGCTTAACGATTGTATGCAAGATCTTTGAAAACCTAAGAGTAGAAAAATCGCCGTACTCTAATGTGATTTAGGTCTCCGATTAGCAAATCTTTTTTGTTTCTGATTTTGCTTCCTTGTATCATACATTTTTTCTGCTGCTCTTAACCTAACTAGAGTACAAGGGATTAAAGCACTTTCCTCAAGGCCCTAAATCGTTACACTTTAAGGCAGAACCTGCCCTAAACACCCAGCAACAGTACTTGTTCCCTTTGCAGCGTTTCTACAGCTTACGAAGGAGGTTCCGTACACTGGGTTTTAAAGCGAGTATTCGTACTTGTCAAGCCCAACCGGAGACCTTGCGCCGAGGCTTGAAGCACGCTCCAGTTGTTTAAATATTTAAACTGCCTCAAAAATCAAAGTCAAAGTACATGTGCTAAGTCCGCTAATGAACATTACCATTTGCACTATTACCTTTATTATGTCCTTAGAGCTATCATTTATAACACGAGCGTTGATTACAACCATTTCGCCTGGAACATAACCACCTTGTGGGGTTTCGCACTAAATTTCCACTCATATCAAATACGATCATAACAAACATTATAACAGTAGAGCTGAAGCGTACCTCCACAGTCACCTTCCCGTGCCTAAACAGGATGATCCCCAAGTTCTTAGTTTTCAGCTCCTTCACAGGCAGCATCGCTTGAGATATGGTATTCAGGTCAAATACGGGAACGACTGCAAGAATATTCATAAACGCACCACGCCCTACTCTTCACGGTCATATCGAAAACTGGTCCTCAACAAGAAGAGGTGCTTATCAATAGTACAATTGATACAAGTAAAATGCTTGGACGAAGCAATATCGAAGAAATCAGGTACCAGTTCGCGCAAGATACAAAAAAAATCTCGTAAAGCATATACCCACCCGTGAAAGCCTTTTTGTCCCTTTTATTGAATCGCCAAGGACGATCAATCTCCATTTTTATCATGTAGCGAATATAACCGTAGGTGCCTGAAATCTAATTATGCTCAATCAAAATATAAAAACCAAATAAATTATCAAAAAAAAATCATGGCACATCGCTGAAAAATTTAGAACGAAAATAATGGAGGGAAAGTGAAAAGCAGATAC